TTCACTAACGGCATAGGCCCCGGCGTCGCGGCGGCACCCATCTGGCGGGGTTGCGGTGCGGCAACGGAAACGTTTGCCCGTAAACGGCGACAAAAACGCGACAGTCGCCGCCTGTTCGGGACAGTAGCCCACGCCAGGCGGCGGCCGGCGGTGTGGGAGCCTACGGCGGCCGCCCGTGTGGGAATCGCTCAACGCGCTTCGATGGTATCATGGCAGAAGGATGGTCCAGGCGTTTGGTCGTCGGAGCGGAGCAGCTGGTCAGGGTCGGCGCCAGTGGGTGCAGACACGCGAGAACTCGTTCCGTCTTCCTTGGGTCGCGCGGGCCCGGTCTGCATCGTTGCGAGTCTGGTGTGCTTTGCTACAGCTGCAGCCGCTGCGGAGGGACGGCGAGCTGACAACCGGCGAACAGTCCCGGCCGGGGCAGCTGACAGACCCGCCGGGGTCAGCTGAACAGTCCCGCCGGGGCAGCTGAACAGTCCCGCCCTGGGCAGCTGAACAGTCCCGCCGGGGCAGCTGAACAGTCCCGCCGGGGCAGCTGAACAGTCCCGCCGGGGCAGCTGAACAGTCCCGCCGGGGCAGCTGAACAGCCCCGCCGGGGCAGCTGAACAGCCCCGCCGGGGCAGCTGAACAGCTCGGAAGGGGTAGCTGAACAGTCCCACCGGGCACCTGGGGCAACGGCGTTCGGACGTGCGGCATGGTAGCTTTCGTGGTGTTTTTGCCTCACTGGTGTTGCACGTGAGTGTGCGTGTGTGTGGTGCGCATGTGTGTGAACGTGCATACAAAACTGATCTCTGCCATTTGCCCATATTCGTGGTTGGCTTTGGTCGCTGCATTAAATAACCACGTGTTTTACACATCCATCACGAAGTATAATCTGAGATGCGAGATCAGATCAGCCCCTCAACACGCACACCGTCCTGTGTTGATGAGCCTTTATCTAGATATGAGACAGGCATCCAATGCTTGGTCACGACGCTAACCTTCGCGTGAAAGGCTGTGCCTTTATTTGGGTGCATCCGTGGATCTCTATGGTCGTATACCTGCCATTAAGTCTTGTGTGACAACGTGGGGCCATGCATATCGCTCCTTTTGATCAAGCTATGTGCAATCATTCACCAACTAGCTCAAGTAGGGCACTTATCCAAGGGTGGGTAAAAACACGTTCCTTCTCTTTTCTCGAACAGCTTTTAATCGGCTCAGGAGAGTCCACCACACGCTTTTAGCAGACACCTTGTAGTTATCCGATGCAAACTGGAACAGCTGTTATGATGGTGGACTAAGCCGCGGATACATGCCACCATATGAGAAGGCTTGTACGGTTGCTTGTGACGTCAGAGGCAGCGGTGTCCAGTTTTCCCTCTTGCTATGGAATGGTTTGGTGTAATACATCAGCTGGTTGGAGTTCGCGTGGTCAGAATGCAGTCTTACATGAGAGATCGCTTTCGGTCGGCATTAAAGCAATTTCAAGTCAGCTTACATATACCGAGTCCCAGGGACTTGCCGACCAGTTGCCATGCATCAGTTAACAAACCACGCACATTTTTTCAAGAGTCCTATGACTCAGAAGAGTAAATCATTCACATAGTGTAGTGTCCGAGACTGTACGGAGTCAGAGGCTGTACCGTATTCCGCAGCACGCGGTCAGAGCCGGCGGGCGCGCTCAGCGGTGCTGCGTGCTGCAGAGGATCATGGCCACGCTACGCCAATGGGTGGCCGTAAGAGCACCGGTGACCGCGCACCGGTGCGCTGGGGCGGGCAGGGTGCACTGGGCTGGGAAGGGGTGCGCTGGGCTGGGAAGGGGTGCGCTGGGCGGGCCGGGGTGCGCTGGGCGGGCAGGGTGTGCTGGGCGGGCAGGGTGCGCTGGGTTGAGAAAGGGGTTGCGCTGGGCTGGGAAGGGGTGCGCTGGGCGGGGCCGGTGTACGCTGGGCTGGGACGGGGGTGCGCTGGGCGGGCAGGGTGGCGCTGGGCTGTGACGGGGTGCGCTGGGGCGGGCAGGGTGCGCTGGGCGGGCCAGGGTGCGCTGGACGGGCCGGGGTGCGCTGGGCGGGCCAGGGTGCGCTGGACGGGCCGGGGTGTCGCTGGGCGGGCCGGGTGCGCTGGGCGGGCCGGGGTGCGCTGCGCTCGGACGGGGTGCGCTGGGCGGGGCTGGAGTGGGCTGGGCTGGGCAGGGAGAATCGAGTGTGGACCGGGGGCCGAGGTGGTGCGGTATAGCCTTTTAAGTATTGCCTTGCCTATCAATTTTTCTTTGCTGGCCGTTGTGCTAAAATTTCACGCGCCAAGTCAAGCTGTTGCGTTTGGCTGCGACATACGCGAAGGTGGAGCTGGATAAGAAAACCCTTCACGTAATATCTTTACCCGAATCCAGCTTGGGGTAACCTTCACCGTAAATGATCTTGACCGTTGAACGGCATTCTTGCCGTATTTTTCCTGCCAGAGTAATAAAGTCCTGCCGCCTGCTGCCAAGTGACCCAGCCATTCGATTTAGATGGCTAGTGTTGCAGGGCCACGGAGCCACCAAGGAGAGCTATCAACGGTTAAACGACGTTATAGAGCAAACATCGGTTAAGTTGTCAGTACTCTACGCTTCAAGATGTGCTTGCAATCACGAGTGCAGTATCAGTGTGAGGAAGTACTACCAGATGACCGATGTTTGTTCATAAAATGCTTCAGCCAATCCCTGTTCGTATATCGAGTATCGTCGCGGTGGCTGGGCGTTTGAGGGCGCGTAAGCTTCGAGGACATTTTGCGCTCGGTATGCAATGAGGATCGATATCTCAGCGAAATAACTCTGTCATAATTCCGAAAAACCAGGGGCTGAGGCCCTTTCTCGTTTATACCAAACTCTATCCCAAGAAGGCGCCGTTCTTTTGATTAAAGTGACAAGGGCTAACCAACTGCCGTTTTAACTTCCACGGCCCAGAGCCAGATCCTGAGATATCATAGCGTGGTACGAGAAACCTCCGTTACGAGCCTTTACGAACCCTCCCCAGGATGGTCGTGGTCGGCAAAATGCCCCAGTAGTGCCGGCAGTGCCAGGAGGAGGCGACGCAGAACGGGAGGCGGCAACGGGACAAAAAGAAAGCACAATGAGGCGGAGATAAGATATAAACAAACAAACGGCAGAACAGGAGACCACTAACGTCACATTCACAAACAACAACAGCGGCGTTAGGGTCCGTCTGCCGGCCTGACACCGCCGGTGTCCGCCGCCGTCTTGATACCGCCGGCGTCCGCCGACGTCCTCATGCCACCGGTGTCCGGACACAGCCTGTGTCCGCCGCCGTCCTTACACCACCTTTGTCCACCGGCCGTGCAGACTCCGCGGTGTCCGCCGCCGTCCCGCTTTACTATTGTCGGCCGTCGCTGGTGAGGCGGGACCCCCCCCCCCCCCCACACACACACACACGCACACCCCACCGCGGTGAGGAGTCAGGCGGGGCCTCGGCCGTGTCCGGCGGCAGGCAGCACGCGCCGGCGTCGGCGCACCGGCCGGCGCCGAAGAGGTGTACCCGGCCTGGCTGCACCGCCGCCGCCCGGCTCGCGCGATTGCAGGCTCCCGCTGCCGCCGGCCGGCTTGGCTACGCCGCTGCCGCCCGGTCCGCCCGCTCGCAGGCTCCCGTTGCCGCCGGCCAGCCTGGCTACGACGCTGCCGCCCGGCTCGCCCGCTCGCAGGCTCCCGCTGCCGCCGGCCGGCCTGGCTACGCCGCTGCCGCCCGGCTCGCGCGCTCGCAGGCTCCCGCTGCCGCCGGCCGGCCTGGCTACGCTGCTGCCGCCCGGCTCGCGCGCTCGCAGGCTCCCCAGCGCGGCGGGCCCAGATTATTATTGATGGCGATCGGCCGGCACCGGCCTGATGGAGCGTGGCGTCCGAGACGCGACCGGAACGCCATCGCCCGGGCCGACCGTTGCCACGGTTACCGGCGACGCAACGGAATCTGCCGCCAATTAAGATGGAAGGAGAGCGCCCTGTGCTGGACCGTTGCGACGCTACCGGACGTCTTTCCGGCACTTGGTGGCGAGAGCTGGCTGTGGCGCCGATAGTGAACGTCGGGTCTGTGACGCGGCAGGGAGAGCCTCTGGGTCCGTGACGCGGCAGGCAGAGCCTCTGGACCCGTGACGCGGCAGGGAGAGCCTCTGGGTCCGCGACGCGGCAGGGAGAGCCTCTGGGTCCGTGACGCGGCAGGGAGAGCCTCTGAGTGGTGCTGAGAGTGAGCGCCGCGCTTTGTTGAAACTTGGACGAGTGATGTCGCAAAATTTTATGAATTCGGACTGGTGCTGAGGCTGTAATGTGAGTGTTTCCTCTCAGCGTATGCCGCGGCCCGCCGTTCGTGCGCCCGCTACACTGCCAACCTACACTACTACACTGCGCACCCACTACACTGCCAACCTACACTACTACACTGCGCACCCACTACACTGCCAACCTACACTACTTCAACTGCGCACCCACTACACTGCCACCTACACTACTTCACTGCGCACCCACTACACTGCCAACCTACACTACTACACTGCGCACCCACTACACTGCCAACCTACACTACTTCACTGCGCACCCACTACACTGCCAACGGGGCCCATGGGGCATCGCGCACCCCGTTTTGAATGGCTCAGCGCAACACAACACTGGGGTGGTTGACGCGGCATTTGACGGTGTCACGCCGCCACAGACGCGTCCGGGTCAGACGTGGGCGTGCTGCCACAAAATGCCAAAGCAGTGGTCGAGTTTTCCACGTGCGCCCCTCCACCCCAAGGGGTGGCGGCCTTTGGCTGACCGGCCGGCGATCGCTGTCAAGCCGCAGAACATGCGCCCTGCGGATCTTCTGTGTTTGCATGTATCTTCCGTGTACTAGAACGCAAAATATTGCAATGTTGGGATATGCATTTTGCTCTGAGTTTGGTTGTTTGGATGTTTAGATCGGGGCTCTTTCAGCCATAACAGATCATTTCAGGGCTGTGGGATAGAAGGAGAACGGCTAACAGTAACAGCAGGGTAGGACTATATGCACCTGTGGGGCCAACCACCAAACTTCAGCTCACGCCGGGACGTGCGCTGGGGTGTGCGTTGGGTGCCCGGTCGGGGTCCCCCTTCCCAGGGGCCTCTCGGCCCACTCGTGTTTGACACATGCAGTCTGCCCCAGACAAGCGGGGCGTCATGAGAATGAAGGATGAGGCAAACAAGAGGATAAAAGGGTTCATTGACTCGGAGTTTCTCTGACGCTCTTTTTTTTGTTATAGCTATATGTGATATGCCAGTCTTATGCCGGACTCTTGTGTGACGTCTGTGCCCGTCTTTCGGTAGGTGGCGCTAGTGACCAGCCGTGAGATGGCGGCACCAGAGACATTACGGGTGGCCGCCAACGTGCTGCGCCTCAAAGGCCGCACGCTGCTGGTGCCAGCGCTGGCCACCACAGTGCTGCTCGTGATGCTGGTGGTGGGCCGGTGGACGGTACCTGCACCAGCGGCACGGACCGGAGCTGGGCTGGTGTGGCGGCGCGCGGCGCTGGGCAGCGAGCACAGCGATGACGCGGGGCCGGCAGACCGGCGTCAGGCCGCCCCCGCCGCCCTGCACAACGCCGCCAGGCGGAGCTACGTCTCCGGCCAGCGGTTTGTGGACTTTGACCCGTCGGAGGGAGTGGACACGAGAGAGAGGACCGTGTCCGGCCCCACAGTGGCGCTCGTGTCCGCACCCTCCACGGTACTCGAGCCCGCACCCTCTGCGGTGCCCTCGTCCGCACCCTCTGCGGTACTCGTGCCCGTACCCTCCACGGTACTCGCGTCCGCACCCTCTGCGGTGCCTGCGTCCGCGGCAGACGTGCGTTCGCCGGCGACAGTACGCGACAGGACGTTCGCACACGAGACGGTGACTCGGGCGCCCGGTAACCGGCTGGTCGACCGGGACCTGTTCGCGTCGAACGCGGCGGCGCGTCCGCTGCTGGGCCTGAAACTGAGCGGGTCCACCATCGGGCCAGGCCAAAGCGGGCCGCCGGCCGCCTCTTCGTCGGGTGCGGCGGAGTCCCCAGCGCCCGGGCCGGCAGCGGAGCCTAGCTCGGCGACGGCCCAGTACCAGCTGCCGGGCTGCGCGTGCCGGCGCTCCTACGACCCGGCGGCGGTGCGCCGGCTCAACGGCACACGCTCCAGCTGCGGCGGCTTCGCCGACCTGCGTGGCCCGGGACAGAACGTCATCTCGTTCAGCTTTTACGGCAACGCGTCAAGCGTGTTCTTCGGCGGGATTGAGGCGAACCTGCGCGAGGTGCCGAGCGTCTACCCCGGCTGGGTGGTGCGCGTGTACCACGACATCGACCTCAGCCAGCCGGGCCAGAGCCAGCTCGTCTGCCGCGTGGCATGTCGGTGAGTTGGCAAGTGGTGCATGCACACTGTGGTTCCTTGCGCTGCGCTCGGCTCGTAACGCGTTTCCATTTTTGCGTATAGCGTCATACATGTCATGGCAGTATGAATTTAATTATTTCTTTTGTGCTGGATACGTACGACGCTCAATCATCTAGAGCTGTCAAAGGATCAGATTGAGAAACGAGAAACCCATTTTTAAATTTGGTGGATGACTTAAATTTCTTATGACATTATCACCACAAATGGTGTGGAAAATGCTGGCTTTATTGATCGGCAGTTTTTATGCAACAACAGATAATGGAACGGCTTTTGCGGAGGCATGGCATAATTTTTTCGGAGATTGTGTCTGTTCTCGTTGGGGCATGCAAACATTTTGAGAGCAATCTGACGGCGGCGGTAGACATTCAGCATTGTCTGGGCCGTTACGCAGTGTACCCCGCAGATGCGCGGCACCTCCGTGACGTAACCGTGACGCGGCACCTCCGTGACGTAACCGTGACGTCACCGTGACGTCCTCGGACAACTGCGGCCGATAATAACGCAAGGATGGTTACGTCCGTCAACGACATGGTTTTACACTGCAAAACATAATCCCAACCACATGCGCAAGTTGAAATACATCCGTGCAAACCCATAACAATGGGTAAGCAATCGCCAACATGATCTAGACGATATGACGTGTAGCGCGTCCTTTTCCTGAGCCAGTAGGCGCTGTCTGAGTGTAGCTCTTTGCCGCTGCAGCTACGACAACGTGGACTTCTGCGACGTGCGCAACCTGCCCGGCCTCGGGGATCTCAGTAAAAAGTTCGGCATGATCTGGCGGTTCATGCCGCTGGCCGACGACACCGTGGAGCGCTTCATCGTCCGCGACCTCGACTCGCTCATCGGATCGGTGGGTGGCAGACTCGCAAGAGTCTTGGTGGGCGGCGGACTCGCGAGAGTCCCGGTGGGTCTCGCAAGAGTCGCGGTGGGTTGCGGATTCGCGGGAGTCTCGGTGGGTGGCGGACTCGCGAGAGTCTCGGTGGGTGGCGGACTCGCGGGAGCCTCGGTGGGTAGCAGACTCTCCAGCTCCTGCGCACGCTAATGGCGCCTCCGGCACCACGTAGCGGCTACGGCCCTGAGACTAGAGTTCAAATCTTGTTCGTTGTGTGGCGACTAGGTGACTCGGCCGTGAGAGGGTGGAAGGTAACGGACTTAACGGCCAATTCTATTGCTAAATACTGTAGCGAGCACTACTTCACGAGGAAACGAGACTCCGTGAAGCCTGTGACCAGGGAACTCAGCAGAGCAGCTGGTGCTGCGATGATGGCGACATCTTTACCGGTGCTGATGTTTGCGACCTGCATCCGCGAAAAAACCGGTGCTTCATGCGGGCTGGGTTTCCCTGACCAACAGTGTTCTGTGTCTGCGGGTACTGAGTTTTCTGTGGCCGCTGCCTCTGAAATCCATATCTTGCCAAGAAGCGCTGCTAGTGATGTCACGTGCACTGGAATATTATTAGTTTTGCATCGTTTTCGTCTGGTCCTTTTTGTTTGCGTGTCGTTTGTCGTTATTCATACATTTCCCTGTCCTGTCCTGCTATGCCTTGTCCTAAAACGATCTGACTTGATCAGCCCATCCCTCTCTACCACATGCCTTGAGCTGCCCTGCCCTCTCTGTCAACACCCTTTGCATCGACCTGACCTGACGCAGACATGACCTGCCCTGAACCGCCCCGATCTGATTTGCGTAATCTGGACTGGTGTGATTCCCACTCTCCATACTTCCTCACGCTGACCCTTCCATGTCATGACCTTTTCTACCCAGCCCTGCGCTGCCCGGCCCTGACCTGCGCTAACGTGACCTGACTTGACTTGCCCTACCTTGCCTGCCTTGCTCTGGCGTACGCTGTCTTTTCCTGCGCCGATCAACACTTGTTTAACCTGAGCTGGCACGCTCCACCCTGTTTCGAAGCTGACCTGGCCCGCCCCGTCCTGGTTCTACGCTTACCTGGCCTGCCCTGCCCTGATCCGACGCTGACCTGGCCTGCCCTGATGCGACGCTGACCTGGCCTGCCCTGATCCGGGGCTACCCTGGCCTGCCCCGCCCTGATCCGACGCTGACCTGGCCTGCCCTGGTGCGACGCTGACCTGGCCTGTCCTGATCCGACGCTAACCTGGCCTGCCCTGCCCTGATCCAACGCTGACCTGACCTGCTCCGCCCTGATCCGACGCTGACCTGGCCTGCCCCGCCCTGATCCGACGCTGACCTGGCCTTCCCCGCCCTGATCCGACGCTGACCTGGCCTGCCCGGATGAGACGCTGACCTGGCCTGTCCTGATCCGACGCTAACCTGGCCTGCCCCGCCCTGATCCGACGCTAACCCGGCCTGCCCCGCCCTGATCCGGTGCTAACCCGGCCTGTCCCGCCCTGATCCGACGCTGACCTGGCCTGTCCCGCCCTGATCCGACGCTGACCTGACCTGCCCCGCCCTGATCCGATGCTGACCTGGCCTGCCCTGATGCGACGCTGACCTGGCCTGTCCTGATCCGACGCTAACCTGGCCTGCCCCGCCCTGATCCGACGCTAACCTGGCCTGCCCCCGCCCTGATCCGGTGCTAACCCGACCTGTCCCGCCCTGGTCCGACGCTGACCTGGCCTGCCCCGCCCTGATCCGACGCTGACCTGGCCTGCCCTGATGCGACGCTGATCTGGCCTGTCCTGATCCGACGCTAACCTGGCCTGCCCCGCCCTGATCCGACGCTGACCTGACCTGCCCCGCACTGATCCGACGCTGACTTGACCTGCCCGACAGCGTGAGCGGGCGGCGGTGGACGAGTGGATCGCCTCCAACAAGACGTTTCACGCCATGCGGGACGCGCCTGCGCACGGCACCGAGATCCTAGGCGGCATGTGGGGCGGCTGGAACAGGCACAACGACATCTACCGGCGCGTCCGCCAGCGCATCATCAACTCCACCCAGTGGAAGTTCAAGGTCGGTGTCTGGTGACCTTGGCGACCAGATACACCAGACCCTGCTGTATGATGACCTTGGCCTGGCGACCTTGGCTTTGTGTCGTGGTGACGTGTTGATATGACAGTGAGTGAGGAAAGGATCAAATCCAGCTATTAAGAGCACTGTTGATAAGCCATCAACGTGTCTTGAGATTTTGTACATTTCGAGTCGTTCGTGCTGGCTCAGAAATTTGTTTATTTGTTTTTGTTTACTGGTCGGTGTCATTGATGTTCACTGGCCACCTGTTACGACATGCAAAAATACTGCGGCGCATGCAGGGGACTGTTCCGGGATAGCGTGCCGACATGAACCGCCAGTCGGAGCGCTGCTGCTCAGCATGACGTCACAACGAGGACAGACACCTGCGCCCGCCGACCAGCAGGTGGCCGCGCTGCTCGCCGTGGCTGCAGGGCTGGATGAGCAGTCATGACTGGATGGTCCCGCACCCCTCCTCCTAGTAAACCGTTCGGGACGCGCCGGCACACTGCAAGGAAGACGCAAGATGAACTGATCACACGCGACGACGGGTGCAGGCTCAGGCTTGCTCTGGTCCAACTGGGCTGTGGCTGATTGTAGATTCCGTGCTCATGTCACTGTTTGGGTATGCCTGCCTAAATAGGATATATTTCTTAAAGCTTGCAGTGCAGCATTCATACCGACCACGCCGAATGACGCGTTTTTCAAAAGTATTCATGCGCCAGTGAAGGGTATTGGACGCACCCAACTTGTTACGCAACTATGCTCTTTTATGAACAATACTTCTAATTGCGTTTCCGCTACCAAACAGAGATTTCATTACGAATCTTTCCACCGAAGAGACGCAGAAAGCGTAAACTGATCGCTTGACCAGTGCTTTGTTCTATGAGTTTCGCCGTGAAGCTAGGTCAATAGCACCACCAGGCCGAAGGGCATCGCTGCACGTTGCCATGCACTTGAAATCGTCGCTATCCTTGCTAGATTCTGCATTAAAATCAACACACCACGTAATCACAACGAGGCTGACGGTGGTCCTCTGACCTCCGACCTGTGACCCGGCTCGGTCTAGGAGGCCCGGACCAGCGTGTGCTGACGGTGGTCCTCTGACCTCCGACCTGTGACCCGGCTCGGTCTAGGAGGCCCGGACCAGCGCGTGCTGACGGTGGTCCTCTGACCTCCGACCTGTGACCCGGCTCGGTCTAGGAGGCCCGGACCAGCGCGTGCTGACGGTGGTCCTCTGACCTCCGACCTGTGACCCGGCTCGGTCTAGGAGGCCCGGACCAGCGCGTGCTGACGGTGGTCCTCTGACCTCTGGCCTGTGGCCCGGCTCGGTCTAGGAGGCCCGGACCAGCGCGTGCTGACGGTGGTCCTCTGACCTCCGACCTGTGGCCCGGCTCGGTCTAGGAGGCCCGGACCAGCGCGTGCTGACGGTGGTCCTCTGACCTCCGACCTGTGACCCGGCTCGGTCTAGGAGGCCCGGACCAGCGCGTGCTGACGGTGGTCCTCTGACCTCCGGCCTGTGACCCGGCTCGGTCTAGGAGGCCCGGACCAGCGCGTGCTGACGGTGGTCCTCTGACCTCCGACCTGTGACCCGGCTCGGTCTAGGAGGCCCGGACCAGCGCGTGCTGACGGTGGTCCTCTGACCTCCGGCCTGTGACCCGGCTCGGTCTAGGAGGCCCGGACCAGCGCGTGCTGACGGTGGTCCTTTGACCTCTGACCTGTGGCCCGGATCGGTCTAGGGGGCCCGGACCAGCGCGTGCTGACGGCGGTCCTCTGACCTCCGACCTGTGACCCGGCTCGTCCGCAGGGTCTGGACCAGCGCGTGCTGACGGTGGTCCTCTGACCTTTGATATCTGACCCGGCTCGTCCGCAGGGTCTGGACCAGCGCGTGCTGACGGTGGTCCTCTGGCCTCTGACCTCTGACCCGGCTCGTCCGCAGGGTCTGGACCAGCGCGTGCTGACGGTGGTCCTCTGGCCTCATATCGTCAAGCATCGCGACCTCATCGCGCACGACAGCTACCTCTGCTGGTACTACCCCATGTCCAAGCCGTTCCCCACGCAGCGCAAGAGCCCGCACGACTTCGTCGGTTCTCCCAGCCTGATAGACAAGGGGTTTCGCCTGAAGACGCACTGCTCCTATTTCTGCCGACCACGGGACCACAAGGACTGGGTCTGGTGCTGACGACGGGCTCGAGCCGTGCTGTTCTGGTGCTAATCTGGTGCTGATTTGTGCCGATCTAGTGCTGATCTGACGCTGATCTGGTGCTTATTTGGTGCCGGTTGGTGCTGATCTGATCAGTGCTGGTCTCATGCTCATCTGATGCTAATGTGGTGCTTCGCTGAGCTGGCTTCGCTCCAGTGCTAATCTGATGCCGATATGGCGCAATAGGGTGCTTCTTGATTTACCATGAGACCGGACCATGCAGCATGTAGCATCGCGGGGATAGCTCCGAGTTGGGTGGACATCACCAAATGAAATGAAGCCCTGCAACAATGACGACGTCTTCTAAAATAATGTGGAGAGCTTCAGAGGTTTGGCCTCCTTGGCGGCCATTTTACCCTTGCCCCATGGCTTGCCCAGTACGCAACACCCATGGTTAGCACGGCGTTTTTAAAGTCTTTCTTCCAACTCGATTTGGGAAGAGTCCAACCCTAGTTCCAGATCAGCCCCAGATCAGCAAAATATTTGCGCCAAAGCAGCGAAAAACCTGCGCCAGATCAGCAACAGATCAGCGCCAGATCAGCAACAGATCGGCGCCAGGAACCAATCAATCAGCTTCTGCTGATCGGGCGGTGACCAGATCGGCAGCGATGTGTCGCGGGCCAGCGAGAGTCCAGCGCCGCCGGCGGGGCAGTGCCAGCGAGAGTCCAGCGCCGCCGGCGGGGCAGCGCGGCAGCGGACTAAGCTGGGAACGGTTGACGAGCCTGCGGAGACCACTGTGATAGCGATGCGAACACCGCTCACCGTAACACCGATGCGAACACCGCTCTGCTGCTCTGCTGCTGCTGAACACCGCTCTGCTGCTGCCACACCCGAAGTCCAGCGGCCGCTGCTGGGCGCGTCACAGGACAAGTCGCGGGGCCGTGTGTGTCGCATGTCAGAGAACGTCACGTGACACCGTGTGCACACAGTGTGACGGTGCTGGCAGCTTACGTCACTGACGTCACCATGCCCTTTGACCGTGTGTTTTTCATTCTTAGCACATCATGTGGCGTGGATTGTGTGGCGGTGATCACGCTTAAACCACAGAGCAGGATGCTGTTGTGGCTGGGATGGCTGTGGCCCAAGTATTCGTAACATTTTGGAGAACACACTGCTATTATTGTGCGATGTTACCGCGAGTGCTACCGCAGGCTGAGCAGGGGGCCCCGCTGCTCAAGCCGGCTTTGGGAATAGCTGGCTGAAAATAGCCGCGCGCCGCTGTGTTGTCAGGTGGGATAGACAGAACACGCTGGCGGCCTCCTGACCGGTCCCGTCGTGGATGGCTGCTGGCGGCTGTTTTGCAGTTTGTTCTGGCGAGTTCACCGATGAGTGCTGCAATTCGTTTACAAGCTACACTGGGCAGTGTCTTGCACCCGCACAGGGTGTGATTTGTTGTGGGCGATGATACGGTAATATGCAAGCCTAGGGGGGGGGGGGTCAATACACGACGAATCCGCCCATGGATGTCTGGAGGTCAGCACGGGAGGTCAGCGCGGGGGGTCAGCACGCGGTCCGCGCGTCCCTGGACGCCTGGGAGTCAGTACACGCTCTGTCGGGCTCTGAGTGTCGTCCGCCCCGGATAATGTCGGAAGTCCGCCTGGCGCCAGGATAGGGCGGACCGGTCTTGTGAGCTGAACCCAGGTACTCGGAGCACCGCTCTCCTGTAGCTGGGGATGGGCGCCATATGATCAGGGTAGTCGGCGTGACCTAAAGCCCGAAACGCCTTCATTCTGTGGTGGCAAGTGAGATCATCCTATGGTGGGGTTGACCACTTAGAAATGCGCAGTCACCCGAGGGTGGATGGCTGTCACCCAACGGTGGGTGGCTGTCACCAGAGGGTGTGCAGCTGTCAACAGAGCGTAGGCCTCTATCACCCGAGGGTTGGCCGCTGTTACCCGGGAGTGGTCTGTTGTTAACCGAGCCGCAATAGATGTTACCTGAGAATGAATCGCTGCCAACCAGATAACCAGGCAACTGAGTCAGTACAACTGAACTAGTGACAGTTGGGCCAGGGTGACAGTATGTTGCCATGTTTATGATAATAACAATGACGTTCATTACCAACGCGCTCCACGCACGACGTGCAGGGACTTTTGATTATGCATCCAACATTGTAATACATACGGTTTAAAATGATGTCCGTCTTCATTACAAATGCGTTCGGTCTGATAATGGCTTTTTTGATCGCAAACGGTGGTGAGAGGTTTCATCAGTTGATGGTTGCATATCACACAGCTATTTGCCTTTCGAATCCATGAACACAACGAATCCCACAAAAACCCACTGATGTCCATTGTCCATACCTGAATCGCGCCTACCGGTGCCGTGGGTTCGCATCCTGTACGCCGCAACGTCTTCCTCGCGGCCCTGGCAGCCCCTCGTCAACCGAGCAGAGCTGATGGGAAAGCACGATCCGCCGGCGCGATCTGATCATTGAGCTTTGAGCCGGATGCTCCCTGCCAACCGCAGGGCCTCATGCAGGCTAGCCTGCGGACTGGCAGGCGGCCCAGCGCGATCGGAGGTGGCCAGGTCCGTCCGCGGCCCCCACAGCCGCCCACGACCGCTGGTCAGTCGGCCGCCATGATCGCCTCCGCGTACACCGTCTGCGTTGCCCTGCAGGTGAGCCCTGCCCCGCTGTGATCCGCTGGTGCAATATCGACTGATTTGTAACGTGATGATTGTATGTGTTGATTTGCGCTTTGGACTTGCGATCCAGGTGGTGTGTTCACGTGAGACGTGTCCGCTTTCGTCAGGGAACGTCTCACATCCGTTGCAAAGTACCCAGCAGGTAAGCGGGGGTTTGCCAGCACCAGATGGCTATACCAGTCGTCACGAAATATTCGCCGTTTTACGCATCATTTTATAATTTTGATCAACTGCCTGCTGGTCTTTGCGGAACAAGCTCCATCGTACCAAACGTTTTCAGCTGACGTAGTTTCCTTGGCAATGTCGGGAGGGTGTGCACATGGGTGCAGCCACCTCCCCCGGGTCTGAGGCATGCCATGGATCATTCAGCCCACCCCAGCCATAGTTCGGCCAGTTGAGCTTGAAGCCGTGTTACCACCGACCTGCGGGCATCGAGTGCTCAACGCGCCACGTTACTGACCTGCCTCCTGATTATTGAAAGCCTGCAGGGCGAAGATGCACTAAGTTGGTCCTACGAGACGTATTCTTGACTTTCCTTACCGTACACAAGCCAAAAGCGAATAATGCGCCCCGGCCAACTTATGTTCTTGTCCAATCGTCCTAGAGGTGGAGAGGCTGTAACCGCCCGGTTTCATCAACTTCAGTGATCCAACTCACTTGCATCATGAATCAGGAGTGTTCTCCGCTCCGTTGGTACCATGGGCGGCAGCTGCGCTGCGTCCGATGGCTGCCGAGGTAAGAGCGGCACCACGCTGGAGATGCGAGGACTGATTTCCGAAACTGGTCAGACAGCCGGTTCCAGGAACACCGCTCGGCCGCGCAGCAAGGCTCACGGCCGGGACTGCCAGGAGGTGGTCCATCAGCGGTCACCGCCGGCTGGCGCCAGTGACGTCACGGTAATCAGGCTCCAGACTTCACATCCTGCACGCCGCGTCGAGGACAATGCTGGGCGCAAGGATCTGACGGAAATGTTCCACCCATTCCAGGTGTTGGGCCTGACATGTGGCGCGCCATGCCTCACGGGGCCTGACCTGGACGCGGTGGCGGCACTCCAGGACAGCATCACGCCGGTGTTCCCTCCGACTTCGGAGCGAAGCGCCGCCCCTGGCGGCGGTCAGCCGTACTTCACCTTCACCCAGCGGCCGCACGCCAAGGCGCCGTGGGAGCTGCCTCCGATACCCCCGGCAGCGGCACCTGCCGGCATAGTGGATCCCGGCTGTCCAACAACGCTGACGCCTTGCCCCGGGGGCTGCTGTCACTCCTCCTTGTTTGAGAGTCCTTGCCCAGAGGGGACGAGCATGGCATTGGGCAACTGCGTGCATTTCTCGCATTGATATTCAATCCAAATCTTTCGAATGAATGAATTTCTGGGATCACCGCGTACGCTAAACAATGCGTGTTGTGTGAACTTTGACCCCTGCCACCCAATCGCGCAAAACCAGGTTAACGACAAAATCTTGGTGCGAAGTTTAGCGTGTCGCAATGCTCGGAACGGTCCGTCCTGCCCTCTGACGTCACCTGACCTTTAGTGTGGCCGCTGCTACCGGTCGCAGGTCATATCTGTCAAGGGCAAATAGCGAGCGCCCAAAGCAACCCTAACGCGCCTACAACGAGTGGATGGGCCGGAAGGCAGGCCCTCCAGCCGTCTGAACCATTGGGACTCTATGCCGCCGGACGCGTGGACGGCAGAGAATGTGCTGGGTGCAGTCCGGTACGGGACCGCCGCGCAAGCCAGAACGGGGCGAACTTCGGAGTAAAAAGCTCAGCTATGACACCAGCTGGGCTGTGGGGACCGCTCCTGTGCCTGTATCACGCGTCTTTATTGACTGGAAATCTGTGTGCAACGCTACATGTAGCATTGAGCGAGCGAAACAAAATTGAAAATGTAGAAACGTCTATCCCACACACAAAATGGCCGCGATAAGAGCGTTTGTTTCCTGAAGTGACTTGTACGCCTCCAGTGATTGCAATAACCGACGCACGACTTACTGTGTGACTGGTATGGATTAGTGCTGCTAGCATTGTTTTCTACAATGGCTTTTATCCATCGCAATAATAATTATCTAGATATATCAACTACAATAAACATTATCCAATGGCTATTATCTACAGTGGTTATTATCACTGGAAGTCACCAAACGTTTATATCAGTCCAGTGGTTACGTCGTCGTGCTCAGCCAGTCAAACATTTCAATATCTTTTAAAAGGACAGATTCAGCTTGTGACACGCATGCTAAGTGACGATGAGCACTCTTCAGCACACGCGTCATCAGCGGCGGATCCGGAAGGAGGCCACGAGACCACGCCCCCTTCAGCCCAAAGGGACTCAAAACTGAACAAACGGACGCAGTTTTCGAACACAAAACATAACAAAATTGGACATATTTGGGCCCCTAGGGGACCAGGGACAGTCGCGGACAGACAGGGACAGACAGGGACGGGGACGAAAGTGAAGGGCCTTGAGCTGGCAGCTGACAACATTAGCTTTTCGCTGACTAAAAAGGTGGTGATTGGGGAGATTTTGAGGCCTTTCCACCGCCCAAAGGACGTGTCCTGTTGCCGCGGGCCCTTTATGCCCACTTACCGGGTTAATTCGATCACTAAGTAGCCTTGTACGTTGCTCGTGATCTACTTGCATTTGCTGGGAGGGCCTTGCGTTGTTTTGGGGGCCTTACTGGCCAATTTTCCGGCCATTCTTGATCGACCAGGGACATCCATGGATACATTCTATTTGCTCGAAAGGCTTTCAACACTATTGCCGGGGCCCATATGATAGCCTGCCGGGGTATTCACAGTTACTCAGGGACCCTTTACATGGGTCTCGGGCTTATTTCATTTGCCCGGAGGGCCTTACGCTGTTGGTGGGGCCCATATGGGTAACCGCACCGAGACACTTGACGCTGAGAGGCCTTCTGCATTAATCTAGGGCTCTTTTCCTTTGATCCCATTTAAACATTGTCGGAGCCGCTTCTGTAAACTAGCCCAGACGCTACTGATTGCGCAGGGGCCAGCTGCAATGATCTTGGGCGCTCCATATTAGCTCGCATAACCCTCCGCTGATGTCCATGGCCTAACACGCTCATCGGTCAAGGACCTCTTGATCACCCAAGGCCATTAATTCATGTACGCTGGTCTTGGTCAAGGCCATCAATTCATGTACGCTTCCCGTTTGCTCGGATGGGTGGGCTCTGTATGTTAACCTGCCGGGCCGCTCCCGATCGTTCAGGGGCCACCACATTGGTCTTGGGTTTTCTCGCCCGCTCTGAGCAGCGGGGCACTCTTTCCCGAAGGGTCCGTCGGACTCCTCGGGCCCGATGGTTAAGGACCCACTTCGATGGTCCGATGGGCCCGAAAGGCCGGCCGGAAGTCGTATTTAGGAGCCCCAGCCCGCACGGCCGGGCGTTCCAACGCCAGCCAGAGGGCCCATTGGGCCGATCGAGGGCACTCTGAATTGATAAGAACGTTTATGTCGGTCAGACACCACCAGCATCGCGCTGTCGGATCCGTGCCGATGTGGGATTGAGGTCGAGTCGACCAAGGGCAGTGTTTGATCAAGACAGAGGGGGGCGCGGGGGCCACAGGAACTGACGATCAACTGCCCGATTGGAGGGCATAAGGCTCCGAAGGGCTGGGTGTACATAAGTCACATAAAGGATTCCGGCCCGAAGGGTCGCAAGATCAGTCAGAGGCCGTTTTGCACCGATTGGGGACACCGTGAGATGATGCTGGCCTATATGCCTGTCAGAGACCCCAATGCTGAATAAACTGGTTCGTGTCAG